TGACCAACAGACCGCCCGCAGGCGCACCGCCGAAAGCCACCTAACTGCCGTGCTTGGGGCAGCAAAAAACATAGAGCCACCCCTGCAGCCAGCGCCAGCCAGGCTCCTTCTGCCTCTTGCCAGGGTCTGATGCTAATGCTAATCTGCTAGGAGAAAATAGAATTTGAAACATGGATAGTAGATGGAGTAGAGAAACTTGGAATGCTGTAATGCAGAGAGAAATTTTAGGGTTGTTATGGAGAACAGATTAGTCATGAGTTTGCGTGTGACATGAGTGATAAAAGGCCAATGCAGCTCTGGTCTGAATATGTAAGAGCATCACAACCTTGAAATGGGAGATATTGATATCCCCTCTTTATGGATATGATGCAACACACCAGGAATGATATCAGTTCTGGCTGCTACATCACCAAAAAGGTTTATAATTAGGGTTGGTTTTGAGTAGAGCAACAAAAGTCATCTGGTAGGTGAAGGAACTGACTTTCAAAGGAAGATTAAAAGAGCTAAATATGTATGTGTAGATGAGAGACATTGGTGAGGAGGAGGAGATGCTTTCAAATGTGTGAAGGATATAATCACCAAGGTCAATACACAGGAGTAAAGGATGAAACTGAGAAAAGGAAAATTTAGGCTGACTACCAGGAAATGATGCCTGATTGTGAGATGTATTAAGATTTGGAATGTGGAATAGACTCCCAATGAAAGTGGTGGAAACCGCATCACTTCAGACATTTAAATCTAGAATGGACAAAATATTAATACTTCAGAGAACAATCCTGTATTGGCAGGGGGATCGATTCAGTGACCTAATAGGTCTTTTCCATCTCTGACTTCTACCAGCTTCAGTATTCTAAATTCCTAATATTTAAACTGACTTAAAACACACAGTACTGTGTCTTATTGCTTTGGAAATTAAGTTTAAAATTTTGTTTAAGATGTGCTACTTCCAACAAGCTGTATAAAATAGCTCACAGTTGAAACTGAGGCCTTGGCTACACTTACCCGCTAGTTCGGCGGCTGGCAATCAAACTTCTGGGTTCGACTTATCGCGTCTAGTCTGGACGCGATAAGTCGAACCCGGAAGTGCTTGCCGTCGACTGCGGTACTCCAGCTCGGCGAGAGGAGTACCGCGGAGTCGACGGGGGAGCCTGCCTGCCGAGTGTGGACCAAGGTAAGTTCGAACTAAGGTACTTCGAACTTCAGCTATGTTATTCACATAGCTGAAGTTCCGTACCTTAGTTTGAATTAAGGGGTTAGTGTAGACCTGGCCTAATTGTTTGTGCTGCTGGATAATTTGTAACTAAAAAGGCACTCATACTGTGGGTATCTCTAGTTAGTGTGTCCTTTGGAACTTAAATTGTAGACATATCTTAATGGCTAGTCATGAAAATCCTATGTTTAACTACATTCCGTTGTAGTAGTGAGCTGAGGGGTGAAAACATTCTCTAGCAACAACAATCACATTTTATAATCAAAACTGATCTTACAGATGTCATATGGCGATCATGAATTGAAAAAAATCATCCGTGCAATTGAATGATTGGATTAGCTAAATTTTATATGCCTTAACTTCTCTCTGAAGGCAGGGCTAATTGAATTTTGTGTTGAATGGACAGACTAATAGCTAAGAGAGGCTTTCCCTCCTCCTTTCATTGCTGCTAGTGCCTTGGATAAGGCAGTGGAGGATAAACCTAGTACTGAAACCTCATTCATATATTTAATTATTAGCTTGCTATGTATCTTGTACTTCCTTATTTTGTGTGGCACATAAAGCATGAGATGTACAATTGAGTTATGAATTACTGTACACTTTTCAGTTCACTATCAAATATATATTTTATGTGTATGGCTCATTTAAAAATACCCCAAAACTCTGATTCCTTTAATGTACACTATATTCGGCAAAGCAGGTTAGTTATTTGAGTGGGAAAGCTTCCTGGATCTTAGAAATAATAACTTTCTGTACATGCATGTACACTTAATACTCCACTCTCCTCCTCACCATTCCTCGTTCCTTTAGGTAACTTCAGTCAGTGTCTAATCTTGGATTTCTTAATTTGGAGTGAAGCCCAGAGATGTAATAAAATTTGCACTTGTGGGGATAGGGAAAGAGGACCTGAAAGCTTTCTGGAGAAAACTTAAGTGTGAAGATTTAAGAGGGAGGAAAAATATGCAGAATGTATCAAAGAACTTCAGAAATGCAGATCAAATGCAGTTTCTTGGAAACATCTGATTTTATTCTTTAGTTTAAAATTCAGTTATTTCCAATAAATATTTAGTGACAAATACAATAATAATGGTGTTGAAAAGATCAGAAGACAAGCATGTGAAGTCTGGAAAGAAATTGTTATGCAGTATAAGATGAGTGAACTCCTAGTTGTTTAAGGTTTAGATCATCAACCAGATGTTCCATGTGTGACAGAGCTAACTGCACTGTAGACCCCTCTTGGTTTCTCTGAGTGTACTGTGATGGGTTAGATTACAGAACTCCCCTTGGGAGCTGCCACCCGATGTGCCAAGACTACTTCTGCCCCTGCTTTCCTGCCCTGTCAGCTTAAGACTTCAGTGCCCTGCCTGATTTTAGCCAGACTCGCTAGCCTGCTGCAAACCCAGACCCAGGTCTGAATCACGTCCCCTAACAACTGTAGGCTTACCTGAAAGCAGCTTACAGAAGTGTTCTTGTCTTTAACACTCAGATGCCCAACTCCCAATGGGGTCTAAATCCAAATAAATCCGTTTTACCCTGTATAAAGCGTATACAGGGTAAACACATAAATTGTTTGCCCTCTATAACACTGAGAGATATGCACAGCTGTTTGCCCCCCAAGATATTAACACATACTCCAGGTTAACTAATAAGTTAAAAGTGATTTTATTAAATACAGAAAGTAGTATTTAACTGGTTCCAAGTAGTAACATACAGAACAAAGTGAGTTACCAAGCAAAATAAAATAAAACATGCAAATCTATGTCTAATCAAACTGAATACAGATAATTCACCCTTTTAGAGGGGCTTCAGTAAGTTTTTTTTTCTCAGGTTTCAGAGTAGCAGCCGTGTTAGTCTGTATCCGCAAAAAGAAGAACAGGAGTACTTGTGGCACCTTAGAGACTAACAAATTTATTAGAGCATAAGCTTTCGTGGACTACAGCCCACTTCTTCGGATGCATATAGAATGGAACATATATTGAGGAGATATATATACACACATACATTCTATATGCATCTGAAGAAGTGGGCTGTAGTCCACGAAAGCTTATGCTCTAATAAATTTGTTAGTCTCTAAGGTGCCACAAGTACTCCTGTTCTTTTTTTTTCTCAGACTATACACCTTCCAGGCCTGGGCAAAACTCTTTCCCTTGGTATAGCTCTTGTTCCAGCTCAGGTGGTAGCTAGAAGATTCTTCATGATGGCTCCTCTGTTCCACCCATTTATATCTTTTGCATAAGGTGGGAATCCTTTGTCCCTCTGTGTTCCCACCCCCCACCTTCTCAATGGAAAAGCACTAGGTTAAAGATGGATTTTAGTTCAGGTGACATGATCACATGTTACTGTAAGCCCCAAGCCTTCATTCCTCCCAGCCTGACTCACAGGAAGGCTTGCCTGCAAACAGAGCCATCCATAGTCAATTATCCTGGTTGATGGGAGCCATCAAGATTCCAAACCACCATTAATTGCCCACACTTTGCATACTTACAATAGGCTCTCAGAGTTATATTTCATATTTCTAGTTTTAGATACAAGAGTGATACATTTATAGAAATAGGATGAACACACTCAGTAGATTTATAAGCTTTGTAATGATACCTTTCAAGAGACCTTTTGCATGAAGCATATTCCAGTTACATTATATTCACTCATTAGTATATTTTTATAAAATTGTATAGACTGCAACGTCACATGTACCTCCTCAGGTGTTAGGCCTTGTGCCTTTACCTCTCTCAGGGCAGAATCACATGATTCTCCCACTCTTAAACTGGGTACTGACTTGCAGTCCCCTTTATATCAACCATGATCACTGCAGCAGGTCTGGCTTTGGCTCAGACCCTGCAGTTCTGTTCCCTTCAGGGGCATGTTAGTGGTATCTAGTAACCAAACAGCTTTCTTAAAGCAAAGTATAATTTATTTAGAACAAAAGCATTTAAGAAAAAAATGTAATGCTTGCTTTTCTCTAACACTTACCATGCCCTGCGTATGAGAAGGCCCAGTTCCTTTAGGCTCCTCTCTAGAGCCTGCCTCTTTCTGTGTCAGCCTGTCCCCTGAACTGCTTCTGACAACTGCCTCCCTCCCATTCCCACTGCACCCTGGAATCAAAACACTAACTGTTTATAGCCCTTTGATCTGGTAGATCCCAGCATTGTGAAACAAGGTTTACAAATTATTGGAGGGAGATAATTTCACAAATCCTGTATCTAACAGCTGGGCCTCTTTATCTTTCTGGTGTGCACTTAACTGTTCTTATCTGGGAACCCATTCTGTTGCTTCCTTGTTTGTTCTTCTCAGAGCCCCAACATAAGTGAGAACAATGGATTCACACTGGAAGGTCTTATAACCAAATATAGAATAACTTCACCTCGCTGACCTGGTCACATAGTGTTATGTAATACCATTATTACATATCGATATACATAGAATAATATACAGCAATTCCTACACTATTCATAATATTATTGCATGTCATATGCATTTCTGTCAACTATGTACTTATTTCTCTCAGGCACTGGATGAAAAACAGCTGGCTCATGTTCACCCCTGGTAAAATGGTGATACTAGTTGGGAGAGGACAGTACTTCAAGGAAGTGCCTGAAACTCTGTTATCCTCTACTGTGGGCATTGATCATCCATGTAGTGTGGAGTTTAAGTCTTATTGGACTCTGCTGCTCTTAGACGAAATAGTGATAGAAAAGGGCATTTTTTGTCCCTATCTTCAGGTAGCTAAAAAAAATGCCATCATTCTTCTCCGAAGAGACTATCAAAATGATCTATGCTTTCTCACCTCCAGGTTATATTACTGCAGTACAGAAGGTCCCAAACAAGCTTCAGGATGCAGCATGGTCCAGTGGATAGGGCATCAGACTGGGAATAAAAAAACATGGGTTCTGTTGCCTGACCTGCCGGAGATCTGTTGTGTTCTTTGGTAAGTCACTTAACCTTGTCTAAGTTCCCCCTCTGTAATACGGGGATAATAATGCTTAATCACATTGAGTGAAACTCTCTAGGCCTAATGGAGGATGTTCTTGGTGGCAAATATTTGGCTGTAGAAGTGCCATGTAAAGATCAGGAATGATCCCTGAGCCTTTACTATTTAGAGTCGTATGCAAGAACCATCTTATAGGTACAGTAACTCCTCCCTCAACATCGTCCCAGTTAACGTTGCTTGGTTGTTACGTTGCTGATCAATTAGAGAACATTCTCATTTAAAGTTGCGCAATGCTCCCTTATAATGTTGTTTGGCAGCCACCTGCTTTGTCTACTGCTTGCAGAAAGAGCAGTCCGTTGGAGCTAGCTGGTGGGGGCTTGGAACCAGGGTGGACCGGCAGCCTCCCATCAGCTCCCCGGTCCCCTAGGTTCCCTGTGCGGCAGCTGCCCAGTAGGCTATCAATTGCCGAGCAGTTCAGCTGTCCTCCCCCCACTGCCGTGTGCTGCTCCTGCCCTCTGCCTTGGAGCTGCTCCCAGGAGCCTCCTGCTTGCTGTGCGGGGGGAGGGGAGGGAAAGAAGGGTGTGTGACGTTGTGCAGTCTATATAGTTTTATAAAAATATGATAAGTGAATATAATGTAACTGGGATATGCTTCATGCAAAAGGTCTCATATGGTATCATTACAAAGCTTATGATCTACTGAGTGTGATCATCCTATTTGTATAAATGTACCACTCTTGTATCTAATACTAGAAATATAAAATATAACTCTGAGGGCCTGTTGTAATTATGCAAGATGTGGGCCATTAATGGTGGTTTGGAATCTTGATGACTCCCATTAACCAGGATCATTGTCTGCAGATGGCTGTATTTTACCTGGGAGTCTTCCTGTATATGTGTGTGCTGGCAAGTGGGTAATGAAGTCTTGCAGTGACATGTGATCACGTCACCTGAACTGGAATCCATCTTTAACCTGGTGCTTTTCCAGTGAGGGGGGGTGAAACCCGAGAGGGACAAAGGGTTCCCGCCTTATGCAAAAGATATATAAAGGGGTGAACAGAACAAAGGATG